ATCATAATGTCTCTTTCTTTGAAAATTGAGCGTAGCTTCATATAGGATAGTATCAAGCAAAACAAAATAGTATAAACCCATTCAAGAGAATGAAAGCATTACAGGGCTTTCAGAACCAAATAGCAGAGATGAACAATGGCTACTATATTACCTCATTTTGTTATCTTTTCTTATTGACTGCAAATTGAGGTTCACAGACTAGGTGGCTCGCCCAGTATTGTGTAGCTTGCGAGTAACAGGCTAAGGTAGTGCGGCCCGTTCATGTGACCCTAAGTTGTGCCTAGAGACATCACTAGATATTGTCAAGCCTCATTTTCCCTCCCTGAAACCTGGTAGAGGCATTTTTCCTTCTACTTTGCCTATCAATAAAACCAGAAGCTTCAAAACTAAGGGATGTGATTTTATTTTTTAATGCTGCATCAGCTGGGTGTGTTACGCCTGCCCGTGATCCTAGCCCTCTGGAAGGCTGAGGCAGAAGGATTCCAAGTATGTTGTCTCAAAAAAAGATTTAAAAAGTGCTGGGGCACATCTCACTGGCAAGGTTCTGAATTCAGTCCATAGTACTGCAAAACAAAAAGCCCAGACACAAAAACTGGTCCCTAAGTTTTCAGAGGGATGGTGCGGGTGGTGTTCAAGTGATCTACTGTGTGTCACATACGTGCTCTGTAGTAAGCTATTGTAACTAGTTTCCACAGAGTTATAACAGGCGCCCTGAAATCTCAGTTGTGCCACACAACAAAGGTTGAGTTCCCTCCCCTACGAAGTCTGATGCGGGTCACGCCACTGGCTGTCATTTGGTTTTTTGCCTTGGGAAGTCTACATTGCCAGCCCTTTGTATTTTGTACTCTGACACCAGGGTCTTGTGGAGTCACTAAGTTGCTCAAACTGGGCTTGAACTTTGATCCTCTTGCCTCAGCCTTCTGGAGTGTTAGGATTGCAGGGTTGCATGTGTACACGCAGCTCACCTGCAGTCTCGAAGCCTAAAGGTGAGTATGTTGGGAACTCAGGGCTTTTTGGGTCACTGCGGCAGGCAGACAGGAAGGGAAGAGGTGCAGTGGCTGCTGGTTGCTTTGCCCGGAAGTGACAGGGAGCCTCTCTGGCTAGAACCAGCCACACACCTCCAACTGGCCTACGGGAGGCTGGGACCTCAGAGGCAGCAGTGGGTGCTGGATTAACTCACTTCAGTTCATGGATTTGTGGGGGTTTTTTTTTGTACTGGGAATTGAACTAAGGACCTTGCGTTTGCTAAGCAGGCACTTGTGCCACTGAACTATATCCCCAGCCCTGGTTCACAGATTTGTGCAAGGCTCTGCTGAACTGCATTCTGCAAGGGTCCATGAGGTCTGATCTTGCCCAGTTCTCACATACCATTTCCTGCTTTCCTATTGCTCCTGCAGCTTGGCCACAAGGGTCGGCCTGCACCCAAACAGTACCAAAATGTGCTCTTCCTCAGGGCTTTTGCACATGCTGTTCCTGGAGCACTGTTCCCTTCCTCCCTCATGGCCCCTGCTTTCTTCCTGTCGCTGGTCCTTTTCATCTCTTGGGACTCCGCTTAATGCTGTGTGCTCCGTGGAGTGTGCCTTGAGTACCCTGTTCCAGTAGGTCTGATGAGTTCTCTTCCTCAAGTGTCTTTTTAGGATGAGTCCTCTCGGTTTAAAATGTTGTATGTCTGTTTTTGATTATTTTGTAATACTGGGGGTTGAACCCAAGTCCTCATGTTCTATCACTGAGAGAGACTCCTAGGGCCTCAGGGGCTTTTCCTTAACCAGCTTGAAGTCGGGATTCTGTGCATGTTGATAAAGAATGGTGTCCTGTCACCGATACAGCAAGACAGGACATACACAAGGCACCTCAGGGGCCGGGGGAAGGTTCTCTGAGCACCTGGGACAGAGCCTCAGGAGGACAGGTCCTGCTGTCAGAGCTGTCTGATTTTGTGCCTAGCTGGAGTGGGGAGTACCGGATGGTGCATGGTGTGTGTGCCGTGAGTGCTGTGCTATGTGCTGTGTGCTATGTGTTCCAGAAGGGTCAGGCTCAGGGATAAAAAGGGAAAAGAAAAGCAGGCCCAGAAAGCTGACATGCCTGTGGTGTGGGCAGCAGACCAGAGTTCTTTGGGTATCGTGGAACCACGTCTGCTTGCTCTAGAAGGGGTCTATTCCAGCCAGTCAGCTGAAGAGGAAAAGCAAATGCATAAATATTGCATCATTCTTTGACTTGAGGGTTGTGAGGGAGAAGTTTCTAGAGTGAACCTGTCAGGCAAAGACTCTGTGGCCTTCTACGCAGTGAGCAGGGCTGCCTGGCCTCAGTGTCATGTCTCCTCAGCAAGGGAGGACCTCAGCGAGCAGAAACTTTCACTGCAGCAAACACGGCCAAGCAGCTGTCCTTGCTTTCCCTTGGCCCTGGAGTTTCAGAGGCTGCATGTAGGATGGGATGTTGGTGGCAGTAGCAGTACGAGCAGTAGCAGCTCGTGTCCCCTGAGCTGTCACTTTGTCCTCAGGCAGCTCTCAGGGTGGTGGAGGGCCCAGCTCCTGGTCTCATTTGTCTGATGGTTCCCTTAGTAGTGAGCCCGCTGGTAGAGTCTGTAGGAACTGGAATTCCTGCCAGGATGCTGTGAGCTCACTGCTTAGCTTCTGGTCGGTGGTTTGTAGTCATTAGAGAGCTTGGGACACTGTGCACAGAGACAAAGAAATCACACTGTCAGCCAACCCTAGTGAGCACAAGGGGCAGAGAGGGGCTTCTGCCTGCATCTTCTGCGCTGCCACTGACTGACCTAGTGCCAGCGGCCAAGACTCTGTGTCAGCCTGCCCCTCTGGTGGCTGACAGGGACCCAAGCAGGAGGACCCATCCCTCATCTCACCTGCACGCATGTGGCTCACTGGCCTCCTCCTCCCCTTGCTGATGGCTTTATTCCTTAATGTAGCAGGTTGAAAGAGCTGTGTTGTATCTCTTCAGTGACCAGAGACCAGGCTTCCAGGGGGTGAGGACAGAGAGGCCATTTGTTGTCTGGTGGTTTTGACCAGGGAAAGCAAGGCAGAGGCCTGTTCTGTCCCTTCCAACTTAGACTGGTGTCAGCAGCTCTGGGGCAGAGAGGAAGATGCCTAGAACCTTCTGCATTGTGTTCCTCTCTTTGCAGCATTGGCGTTCTGAATGCCCAGAACCCAAGGGCCTCACACATGCCAGCCCAACACTGTACTCCTCAGCCTCATACATACTTTGCCATGAACACTTGGCATTTGTACACAACGTTCCTTTTTTGAGTTTAGGGAGAGGAGTCTTCCCAGGGGACCAGAACCCCTTGAGGGGACTGATGCTGGACTGGCAGCTGATAGTGGTATGGGGTTGTGACCCTTCAAGGGTGACTATGGTGCCTCCTGTGCAGGGCATCTCCCCACATGTGCCGATGGCTCCCTCAGAGCTCTGAGACACTGGGTGGAGCGGGGTCTCCAGCCCTCACAGAACCTGTGCGTTCCCCAAACCCATGCCGAACAGAAGTGATGGCTCTTCAGGAAGCAGGTAACCACTGCAGCCAGTCCCCTGTCCCCCTGGGCTATTTGCTTCATCTGCTCAGGTCTCAGTTTCTTGTCTCCAACAAGGATGGAACACAAAGATGTTAAAGGTGCATTGGTCTGTTTTTCCCTATAATACAGAGAGGATAGATATACATGTAGAAATTCACACATGGAAGAATTTTTTAAACTATTTACTGGAACAGATTATATAGTGTACGATATAATGAACAGATACTCTGAAGAAGAAGAGACACTAAGAAACCCAATGCTAATTCTGTAACATTATGATATAAAATCTAGCAATACTATTAGTCACTGTTCAGAGTGATTTAGTCTAGTCTCTTTAAGTTCAATTTCAGCATATATAAAGATAAGGACAGTTACTATGAAGAGAATGAGAGACACTGTGGTAGTCATTATTGTCCTCCCCAATGTCAGGTCTTGAAGACCTAAAAAGCCTTCATCATCCTGTAATGATCTGATTAGTTCTATAATATACAGCATGTATTCAATGTGTGTGAAGATGGGGACAATTATTTGGAAGAAAACTAGAGACAATAAGATAGACAGTGAAGATCTCCAGTGGACTTGCTTTGAAATCCGTATTTCTTTATGAACTGTTTTGTTCTGTTTTGGTATGTTTAATCTTACCCTCTTTAAGATAAAAAACAAGTGTGTAGGACTGATAACCATATTACTAAGTTTTTGAAGGGTCATTGAGCAGAACTGTTGGCACTGTCACTATTTGAATGTCACTTTGTATGCTTTAATTTTGTAACCTGAACAACTATTTCTAAGATGATAGTATGTAACTTATCAACTAGTGATTTCTTACTGTTTATTTTTCTGTAATTCTGTATTATTTCTACCCTTTTTTTCTGTTTTTTCTCTTTAAATAATAATAATAATAATAATAATAATAATAATAATAAGTGCATTGGGGTTGGCTGGCCCTGTCCTAGTGGACTCTCAGTGACAGAACCGCCAGGGGTAGGAGTGCATTTATATGTGGAACAGAGCTCATGTGTCTCAGCTGGGGCAAGGAAGCTGCAGTTCAGCCAGGGCTGCTAAGATCAAGGGTTACTTAATGGGTTGGGCATTTGATTGTTTTATTTTTATTCATTTTTTGCAGAGCTGGACATGGAGGTCAGGGCCTCAGGCCTGCTGGGCAAGTGCTCACCATAGCCCTGGCATATAAGCGAGTAGATGTTAATTTAATGCACTCCACTTTCTAAGTGGGAAAAGAGGCTCAGAGACAAAAGTAACTCATCTGAGGCCATAGAGCTGGCTAGGCAGGTATGGCGCAGGGTGTCTGAGCAGGGCCATCACAGGCCATTCTGCCCAGAGCCTACACCATGCCAATGTGGAGACCACAGCCCAGGGTGGTGGGGCACACTGTATCCATGGCAGAGCTGAAGTGGAACTCAGGTTTCCCATCTTAGTGGTTGCCCCACATCACAAAATGACAGTGACCTTCCTTCTGTCTTATTCCAGGGAAGCAGGGTCCTGAAACCAGCTCTTCCCTGCCAGCTTTCCCAGGGCCTGTGCCACCAGGATCTGCAGCGGCTTTCCTAAGAAGCAGTGAGGAGGACCAGGATGTGGGGAAGCCCCTGGAGCCGGCTGCCTGTCAGGGCCGAGGTATTTTCAATTTCATTTAATTTGTGTAGTTAAACTTATTTAAGGAAATTAAGATTTATCTGTAACAGTGGTAGTGAACCTATAGGACAAGTATTAGTGTATTTTTTTAAGACAAAAGGTGTTACTGTGTGAGCTGTTTTTTCTAACCTAAAGCCTCAGCATTCAGGTTTCATCGCAGTGTTGCCACTTGGTGATGAATCAGCGGGTTCTGGGTCATGGTTCAGTGCACAGTCTGTAGCAGGCTCATAATCACTGATCTCTGTGAATATTCATCTCAGCATGTAGGAGCAACCTGGGAAGGGTCAGAGGGAGTTAAGCACAGGAAAGAAAGTCTGTGCAGAGGCACACACCTGTCGTCCCTTCTGCAGGAGCTGAGGTGGGAGAAGCACTGAGCCCCTGGGTTTAACACCAGTCTGGACAGCATAGCACAACTGTCTCAAAAAATAAACAAAAGAGACAAAAACCAAACTGAGTGTATACATGCATGCCTGTAATTGTGAGGCCAAGGCAGGAGGATTGTGAATTTAAGGCCAGTCTGCCTAAAACAGCAAGTTCAGCTTGACTACATAACGCAGCAGGACCTTTTTGAGAAAAAAATGAAAGAAACAGGAGGGTGTGGGAGGGGAAGGGAGAGGAAGAAAGGAATCAAGGAAAAGAAAAGAAATAAAGACAAAAATCCACCAAGAAAAAGTAGAACAATCAGGTAACAGAAGAATATGTACAGGTGCGTATAGCTCAGGGATAGAGTGTTTACCTAGCATCTGGGAGGTCCTGAGTTCAATCCTCAGTACCGCAAAGAAAAGAAAACCAAACTAAAGCACACACACACACTCATGCACCTCCTGAAAGACCACACATAGGTACTTACTGCCCTTTTGTTCTGACTGTACCAGGAATTGGTGCATGGCTTCTTACCTCCTAGCAAGAGCCCTACCACCAAGCGATACCCTGAACGCCCATTTATCGCCATTTTTGTCAAGAAAATATATCCGTAAGCGTGGGCCTTTTTCTGTACCAGACCCTGTTGTGAATACTTCCAAGATGCTGACTCAGTCCTCAGCCACAGCGTGAGTTGGCTGTTGTTTTTCTCCCCTGTTACCAGTGCAGATGGGGTTGAGGATGAGGACGCTATAGCCTGAGGTTAAACCAGGCCAAGCTTAGCTCTCACTGTGTACGGCTCTGAGCTGGTGTCCAGCTGTGTGTCTGTCTAGTCCTGGGCCTCATGACTGTGCTGTGGGGCATACAGGGTGCCATCTCTACCTTCTTTCATGCTGCCAGCCCTAGAACTATAAGTTGGCCCAAGGTCCCCAGCAGCACAGAGAGGGAGGGTGACTTACTTGAGGGCCCTTGGGTAGAAGGCGGCATCCACACATGGGCCTTGAGCGCACGCCACAGCCACTGTGCACACTGCCAGCCCCGACCTCACAGCCTTCTTCAGACTCCTCTCCACTTCCGAGGGAAACGGTTGTTTGACTGATGGCTGGGGGATGCAGCCTCCAGGTGACTGTCTGGAAATTGATACTCAGTGCTGTGTCTCTGCTCTCACTGCCTCTGCCTTGGAGTCTCGCCTCCTTTCCCCATCTGTGGCCACCTAAGCAGTGAACAGCAGATCCCGGACCCAAGCGGCCTTAGTGCCAGGGACAGCATGGTTGGGACAAGCAGGGCTTCAGCGTTAGACCAGTATTTGAATTCTAATACTGTCATCTTCAGCAGGACAATTGCTCAACCTCTCTACACCTGAGTTTCTTTATCTGTAAACAGGTAAGAACAGCACCTATGGCACCCCATTGTAAAGAACCATACTGGTTGGTGCTGCCACCGTGGAAGTGCTCTAAAATGTTAGTGTGTATTAAGAATGTGCCAGGCATTGGGGATTTAGCTCAGCAGCACAAGCGGTGGCCTGGCAAGCGTGAGGTTGTGAGTCGATCCCTGATACTAAACAAACCAAAAGAATCTGCCAGACATCAGCTGGGCTGAGTCTATGAACTCCAAGCTCAGGCATCTGGGTTATATCCTATAGCTAAAAGATACCTAAAAAGAAAAACACTGTGCAGGCCTTTCATCAGCAATTAAAGATAAGGGATGTAGCCCAGTGGTAGAGCCCTTGTCTAGCATGTGCAAGACTAAATTCAGCCCTTGTACTCCATAGATATATAAATTTATGATAAAGGGAAATGGGCCTAAGGCATATGTGATGATGGTTGTTGGTCAGAGGGAAAAGCAATGAGACAGGAGAATTCTAGGGCAGCACATTCAGCATGAGGTGGTAACAGGCACAACACTTCCTTCTGATAGTCTTTGTCTAAGTTACTGGAAAAACAAGCATCACCTTCACTGCCAGCTTTTGTACTTTCTTGATTGTCCCTGGCTGGCAAATATTCCAGGAAGGTTGAGATAGTTATATAGTGTGCATAGACAGGAAGTGTCTTGTCTAGAGTAAACCAAGCTGAAAATAGCAGACTAATCATTGACTTCATCACAGCTCTTAAGCCCGCCTTGTCTTGGGAAAACCCCATGTTCCATGTTAGAAACCCAGTTGGATCTAGCCCTGCTGTTGCATGAGTCCACTTAAGCCTGTGCAGAGATGCTCTGAGAGTGAAAGCAGAGGCTCTAGAGGGCCCGACAGGAAATGTTTCTGTTTTAGTAAAAGCTCTGGCATTTGGAGAGCTAACTCCCAGGGTTTAGGAGGCCAGGGCTGCACTGGCCTGTGTAAGTGGGCAGAGCTGTCGCCTTCCTTTTCTGTCCTGTGAGGCTTATGCCTATCCTGCTTCCCAGGTCTTGACAGTAGTACATGCACATGTGTGTGTTTCTCACAAAAAAATCTTTAATGTAGAAGCAATGATAGCGTACAGTGAAGCCGCTCGTGCTCTCTTTGGGTGTCACATGTAGCCCATGTGGCTTCTCCAGCTGTCTTTATCTGTCCCCTCCCTTCTCTTAGATAGTTATTATAAGTAGAATATACTTATATGGTGCTATGATCTGTGTCTGGATGTCCTCCAAAGCTTCATACCATCATGGGTGGCAGGATTTTTTTTTTGGTCTTTTTCATTTTTATTGGTACCAGGGATCGAACTCATGACTGCCTGCTTGCAAGGCAGGTGCTTATGCTGCTGAGCTAAATCCCCAGCCCCTTTTTTTTGTCTTTTTGAAACAGGGTTTCACTATGCAGTTCAGACGGGCCTTGAGCTTACTTTGTAGCCTAGGCTGGTCTAGAATGCACAACAGTTCTCCAGCCTTAGCTTCTCAAGTGATGGGATTACAGGCATGTGTAAACATGACCACTGGGTGGCAGGATTTTTGAAACCAGCTAAATCTTGAGTGTGTGATTGATATGTAGTGCAATGTTGAGATCAAGGTTGTTGGTATTAAGGGTGGGTGATTGGTAGATCAGTCCACTGACTGGACAGGCACTGTCCTAAGCCTAATAGGCTGGCTATAATATAAGGGACAGAAAGAGATTTGCTCCCCCTCTCTCTTGCTCCCTTGCTGTCTTCCTCTGCCATGAACTGTTGTTGTCTCTGCCATGTGCTGCTCTGCCTTGGAGCCAGCAGATTATGGACTGAAACAGCCACAAACTGTGAGCTAAACAAACCCTTCTTCCTTTAACTTTGGGTTTCAGGCATTTTGTCTCAATAATGAGAAAAGTAACTAGAACAAAATTTGGTTCCAGAAGTGAGATTGTTGCTGTGACTATGTCTTACCATATAGTTCAAGAGCCTTTGAGAATGGCTTATGAGAAGAGTTTGGAAAGGTTCAGAGGTACCAGCTGAAAAAGCAGAACTAGAATGCTTTAGGCTGTTCTGTTTGGGAGATTCTAGTCAGAGTTCAGAAGACCAGAAGGCTGATAGAAATCCTGCCAGTAAAGACCAGGGTTGGGAGGTTTCTGCTTGAGGGAAGGACTGTATTGGTTGTTGGACTCCTAATGATGTGTGTTATGGCTTGGCAGAAAGTTTGTCTGCATTTTTCTTGTGTTGCGAAATTTTTCCTGAGGCTGAGATTAAGGGTGGCAGACTAATTTAATCCTATAAAAGAAATTTCAAGGCAGTTGAATGTTGAGGTGGTGGCATGGCTGCTGTGGAGGGCATTTAGCCAAATCTATGTTGAGAATCAAAAGCAAAGAATGTAGAAGCATGACTTAAAACATTGTGAGTTTGGTCAGGAAGGAAGCTGCAGTAAAGCTATGGACTGCAAAGATAGAGCAGAAGAGATCTATTTCTGAGAAGAAACAGGAGAATACAAAAGATGACTTGAGGACATCATAGGAGGCAGCAGCACTCCAAGAGGACCAACAGTGCATCAGTTCTCTTTTTATGTTGTTGCCAACAGCCCTCACACCCAGCTCCACATGGATTCATTTTAGCTGGGTGTTACATGCTGACATTAGTTAATTCATCACAGTTCACTCCTAGTCAACTTGATAACCAAACACATTTCTTTAAACCATAGTCTCCAACAGCAGATTTATAAAAATTTAATATGTCTTGACTATTCAGATTAACATTATTATAACAGTTACATACATACAATCTTATTGCACTAATTTCCACACTAAAAGCAAAATATTCAAAGGGTGCTCAAAATTCATTTTTTTTTTTTTTTTTGTATTAGAGAGCAAAGTCATGACCTCACACTTGCCAGGAAGGCATTTATGCTGCTGAGCTAAATTTCCAGTCCTCAAAATTCAAGTTTAAAATCACAATACTTTGACTAGTTAACCTGATTTTAAATATGTATCTAAAAACTACATATTAAGAGAGCTATTACAATCACGGTCCTTGCCTCCCATTAACTTTTTTTTTTCGTTGTCTTTTTGAGACAGGGTCTCTCTATGCAGTTCAAGCTAGGCTTGAACTCACTTTGTAGTCTAGGCTGGTCTTGAACTCACAACGTTCTCCCTGCCTCAGCCTTCTGAGTACTGGGATTAAAAGCATGAGCTATCACACCCGGCCCCCATTAACATTTTAATGTCAGGACATGGCAATACTAAGAAATGCCCCAAG